AATCCTATTACAAAAACTCCATTCATGTTATGGCATGTAAATATTTCCATGGCCCCATTTCCAAAGTTCAACAAGCCATGATGATATAATAACCAATGGTGGACCCAATAAGTTCCTGAGGAAGTCGCATGTAGAGAGATTGTGTTGTTATTTTTTAACCAAATACAATATCGTCATTACGACTTAGCCAAATTGCCCAGCAAATATAGTTATCGCACCAGTAATAATTTTGAAGATATCTGCTTTTATTTACATATTGAAATTGTCTTGTTTTATATCACTCACCTGGTGTTTTTATCAAATGTGGGATTAGAACCACTTGTCTTCAGGACAAGGGATTTCCCAAATTAGTGGTATATGTAGAGTTGGGAAACAAATTGGCGGATGTATATTTGATAAGGACGCATCCTAATTAATACTATGAATATGGACAGCTAGTGGGATGTGTCCAATCCACCCAAAATCCTTTACATTTTCGGACAGATGAAGTATATATATTAAGAAAAAATTAATGACTGCTGTACATGTTTTGACAAATGAGGTTTTATTCGATTTTGCGCTGGTCTAAGTATATGACTATTGTAATGTAGTTTGACAAACGAACTTGGAAACCAAATTCCACAGAATTAATTGATCCTATTGTGCAACAAACCAGGACAAACTAATTTGCTGAATATATATGGAAATAATTTTCCACCAAAAATTGTGTCTGCCATATTGATGTTTTGCACATGGATATGTAAAACAAATGTTATATACTACCTGCTGTTGCTTGCCGGACATGCATATGCATTGGTTGTATCATTTCTACGGCCACTATTTTGACCAATATAATTATTAATTAAGAAGTGATGATGATCGAGAGTGTAGTATCACGTGAACTCTCATGCGTACGTATTGAAACTCCAATGTTACTGCTCCCTCCAGTTGATAATACTTGTCGTTTTGGACAAAGACACGGTCTCTAAAAAACAACTTTGACCATTATTTTTCATTATAATATGTATAAAATTGTTAGCAAATATATGATCTTATTAAAGTACTTTTTAAAGACTAATCTATACACATATAGTCACCATATTTGAAAGACAAATATTTTAAAAATGATTCATAATCAAAGATTCTAAAGTTTGACTTCATCCTTGTCCAAAACGACAAGTATTATCAGCCCAGAGGGAGTATCATGTTGTACTATTAGTATTAATGTATTGTGTTGTGTACGCGTGTCATATACTCCCTCCATTCTAAATTGATCTACATGTAGTTTTTTTTAGGTTATTCCTAAATGATCTACATATTTGTGTTCATTCATTAAGTCTATTCATTATTTGTGCATTGGAGTAAATGAACATTGATGCATGCATCCATGTACACAAGTATTTATAAATTCATTCATTATGTCTATTCGTTATTTGTGCATTGGAGTAAATGAACATTGATGCATGCATCCATGCACACAAGTATTTATAACCCACATGCAATATCTTGATTTGCTATTGGCTAGAAAATAGTAGGGATGGTGCATGCATAGAGTTTGTTGCTAGAGTAAATATAGTATGAGAGAGTTATTAGTTTTTCTTGGTCTTGATGTACCTATGAAATACGTAGATCAATTTTGGAATAGAGGGAGTACTATCGGACCCATTGGAATAAGCGAAAACGGTATATTTACAAATAAAAAATAATTTATGAATAAAACTTTTATATTCATGTTATTGGCGATCTAAAAGTAAAAATAAACTCTGATGGAAAAACCCTAAAATCAACGTTAAATTTAAGTTTGAGAATTCAAATTTTGGCTGATAAGTCGTATAAGCCAAAAGATGATTTCATTCTGATATACATCCGCCTATACGCATCCTTGATAGCGCGCAATATATGTATGAGTAAATATATATGCATATATAATAGGCCAAAAATTGCAGATGAGCAGTACACTGGTAGTGGTTGGCAGGCATGCACTAGATCTGCTGAATTATTTTTCATGTAGTCGGTGAAGATCTCTGACGATATTATTTCGGTATCAAACGTAATAGAGAGATTAAACAACCCGGTGACTAGTAACTTTTAATTAATCTCGTTGCAGCCGTGTCGAGCTTTCTTGTGTAGCTATAGGCTGCAAATGAGTCCAGTACACTGTTAGTCATGCAAACTGCCAAACTCACTTTAAAAATGAGGTTAATTGCATCAATGTCACTACAAATATTCTATTTTAGATAAATACGACTACTATTCATGATATTGGCTACGTACCACTGTAATTTAGGAAAACTAGCATAGTGGCCCATGCAGATTGTGCGGCTAGCATTATTATATTTTCTCTCTTATAATAGCATATATATTTTCTCAATGTATTATTCAAATATATTAAAATGACAATATAATTTTACATGTCTTATGAGAGCGAACTTCAAATATGCCTTTAAATTTTAGTTATTTGTAACTTGTATTTCTATATGTACTCTAAATTCTACTTTAATTTTATTAGTTTTATTTTGAATTTTAAATTCTTATATGTATTCTATACTCTTCTTCTAATATTCCTTATTTTAATTCCTAATTTCTATTATTTCTGTATTTCTTTATGTTGATCTAAACTTATCTTTCAATATTTTTTTTAATTCTGAATTTTAATTATTTTTAAATTCTATTTCTATATTGACTCTATATTCTCCATCCAATATATTTTTAATTTTGAATTTTTTTTATTTCTAATTGTATTTTTATATGAACTCTAACCTCTACATTTAATTTTTTTTATTTTTTAATTCCGAATTTCCATTAGTTCTATTGTATAACGATATAGACTCTAGTCTTACCTTCCTATATTCCATACTTTTAATTCCGAATTTCAGCTATTATTAAATTGTATTCCTATATGAACTCTATTTTTTCTTTTTCTCCGATTAATGTGATAAATTCTAGGCCATGAAAGCGAACGTGGAGGCTTCTTTTTCTATTCCTTTAATAATATAATAGATTGGAACCATACCACTCTAGCTCGGATTAATATAATTCACCAAATTATTATCTCAGATTGTTTGCTTCTTGCCTCTTTAAAAATACGTTTTCACCAAAAACTTTCTTTGAAAATACGTTTTCTCAAAAAAACTTTCTTCAACTGCATTGATTACAATACATGTTCTACGTTATTTGTAAATTTATTTTTAAAAAATATTTAATTTATTATTGTAATAAGGTCGATAATCCACAACAATAATATGGTCAATCATCTATCCTTATTCTCTGTATGGATTTTCATCCTCTTGTAAATCATTAAATCATCCCAAGCAAATTAGAATGAAGCCTAGTAGTGACTAGTGAGCCACCGCATCAATATTGTTCGCTCTCACAACTTTCACTAGCCTCATATTCACCCTTGTCACCGAGTGGAAAATTTTGTGGTTTAATTATAACTGCAATTGGAAATTATCTTTGATTTTGCTTTAGGTACAGAACATCAAAACAATGCTTCATCCGGTCAAAAATATTTGTTGTTCTAGACAAATATTGATCAAACTGAAGTGTTACAGTTTTGTTCATCAATAATTTCTTGCATGCAAGAGCAAAACATTGCTTCGAAATGTACTTATATCATGATAAAATTGCCCACTATACAAAATCGTGAACTTATTTTCATATAAAATTTCCTATTGAAAATTTATAAATCTTTTAATCAAATCTTATTTTAAATTCTAAGTATTTATGATAGGAGGAAGTATAATATTTATATGCATACAATACTGCATTCGTACATGGATTCTTCAATTCACAATTGAATAGTCACAAACTCAAACTCAGTCACTGGTCAGTGGTTTTGTATTTCTGTCAAGTGGTCCTAGGACTAGGAGTATCTTGCTGCATGCTCTTTCTTATCAAGGGCATTACAGTCATTTTACAGACGGCAATAAACAAATCTGCCCAAATCAACCTGGACCGACCAAGAAGAAAAATAAAATACTGCACTTAGAAGGAAAAAAACGAAAGCAACTCACAACCAAAATTTAAAATCAGCCATGCGCACATGGTGGTAGGGTCAAAAACAATAGAAAAAATTAAAGGAAACTAAACATTTAAATTTAAAAAACCCTCAACGCCACCCCCACTAGCACACTAACCACATCGCTAATTCCAAACTCCCCCGTGACGCAATTTCTATCATTTTTTTTAAAAAAATTCAATTTAATCTTTTTTTACCACTACTCCGTACCATGGGTTTGCGTGAACCCGCACACGAACCACGTGGGACCCACCACCCTCCCGCTTGGCCAGGTGGGCCCCGGCGTCATACTCCGTGGGGCCTCGCGGGTTTGGATCGCAATTCGGCTCGTGTGTGCGCGCCCCCGCTGGTGGGGACACGTGTCGCCCCCGCGTCGCGCACGTGGTCGGGCCCACCTTAGAGCAAGTATAATAGTGAGCTATAACCTGACTGTAAACTTACGTGAAGGAGAGATGTAACAAAAAAATCAAGTGGATTGGCTCTCATGTAAGAGCTAGCTTAACACAATCTCCAAGACAAATACATTAAATGTATAAGTGAGAGATAGAGAGAGGAGAAGAAAATTATAGTCAATTTTATAGCTAATCTTATTATATACTATGTTGGCTTTAAGAAGAGCTAATCTTATTATATACTATTATCCTTGCTCTTACTCCCCCCGAGGCGTCGTCGCACGAGGCTTTAAATAATAATCCGCGGCACAACGCCCCCCCGCCGAGACCCCTGCCACCTCACTGACACCGCGGCCCCCACCATCCCCCGACCCCACCTGTCGGTGACCGCGGGGTACGTGGCGCGGGGGGTGGGGGGTTCGCGTGTGCGGAGGCGAACCACGTGGGACGGGGACGACGGGAGAGGAGGAGCCGGTGGGCGGGGTGGGGCCCACACCCCCATCCTCTTTTTTTAATTAATTAATTAATTAAATGCGGTGAGCAATAATGATTAAATTATCTCTAACTAATCATGGCTCCCTCCTAAATCTCGCGAATAAATAAGCGAGCAATCGAATCGAAACGAAGAGAAAGAGAGAGAGGAAAGCGAAGCGAAGCACAGCAGCGCGAAGAAAGGTCAAGGCATCGTGGAGAAGAAGGAGAGGAAGAGGAAGAGGGGATAAAAGTTTTGCTTGGATTGGTTCTTGTTCTTGAGGCGTTTTTTCGCGTGGGATGGAGAGGGATTTTCTTGGCGCGATTTGGAGGAAGGAGGAGGCGGCCGGCAAGCCGGAGGAGCATTCAGGTCGGTGCTCCACTGTTCTTCTTTGATGATGAACTCGTTTGGTTGGTTGGTTGGTGCTAGTAGTAGTAGTAGTAGCGGCTTAGCTCGCGGCCATGGCGATGCGGGTTTTTAATTGGGTGGGTGCGATGCGAGCTCGGATTTCGGGCATGTGATGTGATCCACCAGAGCAGAGATGAATGCGTGCAGCTGCGGATTTGGGATGGCATCGATTGGCCGCCCAATTCGCAGCTTTCCTTTTTGTTTTTGTTTAGTTATAAAAGAGGCTTTCATTTTTTTTCAATTTTTTTGACGGCTTTAAATTGCTTGTTCAAATCGGCACGATTTTCTTGTGCGTGATTTAGCGCCTTTTTTTTCTTCGATTCTGCGTAGGTAAATCTGTGCTGCGATTGTTGTGTTTTTTTTGGCTGTGCGTCGTGATTTGTGAGTGAATTTGTAGTTTCTCGTGATGCAGATTATCGAGGAGGAGGAGGAGGCGCGTCGGCGGCGATGCAGTGGCAGTTTCCGGCGACCAAGGTCGGCGCCGCGTCGTCGGCGTTCATGTCCTTCAGGTCGTCGGCGGCGGCGGCGAGGGAGGAGGACCCCAAGGAGGCGGCGGTGTTCGACCGCTTCTCCCTCTCCGGGTTCCGCCCGCCGCCGCGCCCGTCCCCCGGTGACGCCTTCGACGGCGCTGCCGCCATGAAGCAGGTTCGCCTCGCCTCCGACCTCCCCGTCGCCCACGTCGTGTCCCTCCCATGGTAGATTCTAACGGTCTGAGCTGTGTGCAGCGGCAGTTTGGATTCAACGGCCGGCAGCAGTACGCCGCCGCGGCGCAGCACGGCCACCGGGAGCAGGGCGTGGACTCCTACGGCGTCGCGGCGCCGCACCATTTCCCGTCGCCGTCGCCGTCGCCGCGCCACCCCGTGCCGTTCGGCCACGCGAACCCCATGCTCCGGGTTCATAGCCTCCCCAACGTCGCCGGCGGGAGCCCCTACAGGAACCAATCCTTCTCCGTCGGCAACTCGGTGGCCGGCTCCACCGTCGGCGTCTACGGCGGCCCAAGGTGGATAATCTCTACTCTGCTCTAATAGAAATCATTTCTGAATTTTGAGTGCAAAGCTAAGAAAAAAAAATGAGAAAGCATTGAGCTGACAATTGGATCGTTGACTTGCAAAAGGGACCTTCAAAATCCGAAGGTGACACAGATGACCATATTCTACGATGGATTGGTGAATGTGTTCGACAACATTCCGGTGGAGAAGGTATCGTATCTTTGCGACGCGCGAAATCTGTTTGATGTTACTTCAGTTCTTGGGGGTATGATTCCTGATTGTGTCATAACTGTGGCAGGCTCAAGAACTTATGCTTTTGGCAAGCAGGGCATCCATTCCGAGTCCACCGAGTGCAGCTCGTAAATCAGATTCGCCTATTTCCGCTGCTGCGAAACTTACAGTGCCCGAGGCTTTGCCTGCAAGGCAGATTGTAGTTCAGAAACCAGAGGCTTCTGTGCCTCTTGTATCAGGGGTTTCGAATCCGATCACCATCGTGTCGCAAGCTGTGACTCTCCCCAAGAGCTTTTCTAGCTCCAACGACTCTGCGGGGCCGAAATCTGGAGGCCTACCGTTGGCTGTTACTCCTTTGAGCCAGGCATCCCCGTCCCAGCCGATTCCAGTAGCAACCACAAATGCTTCGGCTATCATGCCAAGAGGTATATGGCTCTACCTTCATGTTGCTAGTTCTGTAATGTTTTTGGAATTCTGAATTCCCGGCGTAACTACTGTAGTGTTTCATAAGGTATTCGAGATTGATTCATGTTCTTGCTTGTTCCAGCTGTGCCTCAAGCTCGAAAAGCATCTCTCGCCCGATTCTTGGAGAAGCGAAAGGAAAGGTATAAATCGTGTCATCGTGTGTCTTGTGGTTTTACTTTGCAGCTGAAATCTGTTACTATGGTCTTGTGCATATTTTTGACATGTGCCTTGTTTATCATGTAGAGTGTCAAGTGTTGCGCCATACCCATCCTCAAAGAGTCCACTAGAGAGCAGTGACACCATTGGCAGTCCCAGCACACCGAGCAAATCATCGTGCACGGACATCACCCCTTCGACCAACAACTGCGAGGACTCACTGTGCTTAGGTCAGCCAAGGAACATCAGCTTCAGCAGCCAGGAGCCCCCCAGCACAAAGTTACAGATATGAGACCTGGTGATCATTGTATACCGAAGATTCAGCTCAGCGAGAGTCGGCTGACCTTGATGCCAGATCGGACGCCTTCTTTCGCATCCGTGTTAGGGTATGATGAGACATAGGAAGAGATCACTAGATGCTGTTTCTATCCTGGCTGCAAAATCTTTCTTTGGCTAGAGCTGTTTATAAGTGCTGATCTAGCCACAGCCGCCGCCACTTAGTAGTACGAGAGCTGTGACATTGCAGGTAATTTCAGGCTGTTCTTGATTATTTTTGCCCTGAGCCATAGCGGCATTGGACTTGAGAGGAAAAGAAATGCTGCTGAGTTGTATAGGATTACAGATTCGGCGTATGTAATTTTGCTGTTTTTTGGTTCTAGCCTTAAACATACAAAGCTAGCTTCAGAATTCAAACAGAGTATCCCTGATGCCAATATGCCATTGCCATGGCCATTTTTATATGTTCGGTACATTTGTTGTTGCATACTGTTTTGTGCATACAGGCGAGAATGCTTGTCATTGTAATGACTAGCGAGTTTTTGTAGCATGCACATCACGCAGCTAACTAAGATTATTATGCTTCCCTTGGAGATCGCATGCAGTGATATGTTACAGTGTTTACTTGATTGTAGTCTCTCCCAAGCTAGTATACTCTACGTAGTCATAAATATTGTAAAAAATGACCAAAACTTGTGCTAAATATTAATATTTAATATTTATGGCTAAAGGGCTAGGAATGAAAACGGATAGAAAAATGCTCAGACCATTTCCTTTGCTTTTTTTTTCCTTTTCGGAAACAGAACCGAACGGTAGAACAAGAAAGGATATACTGTTGAAACATTTTTTTTAAAGAAAAATATATCAGAAACATAATTATTGCTACCTCCCTCATAAAAATTAAACTTCTACCTTTGAATATTTGTCTCGTAGAAATTGTATTTCTACTCCCGTTTCATATTATAAATCATTTTGACTTTTGTCAAAGTTAAATTACTCCAAATTTAACCAAGCTTGTAGACAAATATATTAATGTTTATAGCACCAAATTAGTTTCATTATATGTAAATTTAAATATATTGTCATAATATATTTGTCTTGTGTTAAAAATGTTAATATTTTTTTCTACAAACTTAATCAAACCTAGAACAGTTTAACTTTGACCAAAGTCAAAACAATTTATAAACTGAAATGGAGGGAGTATTTAATATAGGACCCAACAAATTGATTACATCAAAATATATTTCCTTGTAATCTCTCTTCCTTCCATCCCATCTCTAACTCATTGTTTTAACCTTATTTTAATCAAGTTTATATATGAAATGTGTGCATACACTGTGTTCATTAAATGAGGTTATTATGATAATTTGTCTATTCTCCTAATGTATCCTTAGTTCCTTAGAAATTTATTTTTTACGGGACAAAAGTAGTAGAATAGAGCATTAGAAACAACGTATCGTAAGTGTAAACAAGTTGCACCCAATGTTTTGTTATAAATCAACATCATATACATCTACCATTTGAATACTTTACTAGCAATAATGTCTATGCGTTGCAACATGTAAAAACCAATTTTAAATAACTGAACAAAACTAGCCCCTTTGGTCATAAAAAAATGACGTTTAGATTAAGATTTGGTCAAACTTTTAAAATTCAAATCATTAATAGTTTCTCAAAATGAGTTTTTGAAACAAAATAATCTAAGTACTCTAAAAAAAAGTGATGGTTAGAATTTAAAAATTTTAACTAAATCTTATTGTGAATGTCAAATATTTATGACCAGATGGAGGAAAAGGTTTGCGATGCATATATAGTTGTCATTGTCTAGCTACTAATCCATCACCCACTATGGTTGATAAATTGTGATGGAATTCGTTAGTTTTGAAGTTGCAAACTGCAGTTTTCTTGTACAGTAGTGTGTGCGCACTTATGTTGACTAAAATGGCTCAGGTCATGAAGAAAATATTCCCGATACAATTATTTAGTCTATTGATATTTATGAGATTTGAGGTCAGCCTTCGTCAATAATATGAACCATCCTATGATAAAGGTGAGATACATGATAGATGGACACCGCATGAAGTATTGATGTGATGTGGTGAGCCAATGTGTATGAGGCAAGTACTGAGATTACACAATGGGAAAAGCCGAGATACATGATAGACGTGCACTGTCTAAGAGAATTAACATGACAACTGGCTGACACAAGTCGATGTGTATGATCGTCAAAAATCGCAAAAAAAAAAAGTAAGAACAATGGTAACATAAGATAAAAAGAATCCCATTTTTGAAATCACAAGGGGACACGGTACTGGTTGGCTTATTGACTTATTGTTTTACGAAAACACGGATACATTTTCTATTTACGCTATGCTAGAAACTGTCCATTTAGTTGGCTTGTGCCAAACACATCTAAATGTCAGACACTTAGAAGGCATTGTTAACAAAAATGAAAATAGTTCTTAAATCAACTCTTAGGCTGCAAATTAGAAGTTCAAGCACACATTTGTAAGGTGCAAATAACTATATCGTTTGTGTTCAAAATCCTGAATCGGAGTAAAATAACAAATGGATCAATTTGCCAGCAATCTAGGCCCATACATAACTACAAACGGACCCAATTAGGCCGCTACACTGGTAGCAGCCCAGATAAAGATGGGCCAAAGCGTTGCCATACCCAACGCGGGTGTATTGGATTGGGCCCATTGGTAGCGTTCCAATGTTGGGTTGGGCCCAATTGTCTAAAATGGGCCGACTGCTTCCTCCTTTCTCCGTCCACTCGCCGGAGTGAGTCACTCGCTCCCTCGCCCACCGCCGCCGGCGCCGCCTCCCTCCCATGCCCTCCGGCGAGCGCCGCAACCAATCCGTCCTCTGGGGTGGTGAGAGGGATTGGATGCGGCCACGCCCCACGCGGCGCGAGCAAACTCAGCAACATAGCAGCACCAGCACCAGCACCAGCACCAGCACGAAGCGAGCAAGATGGCAAGGGGAAGATGACGAAGAAGATGACCAGATCAACGGGCTCCCCGACTGCCTTGAGCTCCGGCGATCGCGCGTGCCGTCTGCGAGGCTGATGCCCCAACTCCTGTATCCATTTGTTGTGCTACTCTTTCTTCTGCTCCCGCACCTTTTTTTTTTTTTGTGTGTGATTATGATACACCTATATTTTTTTTAGATAATAAAAATGATTTACATCTTCGGCCTCTGCGAATAAGTATATGGCCAATTAGTCAAGAAAAGATAAATAAAAATACTCGAGGCTATGGGACAAATCCTCATCTCCCAACCGATGATATATCAAGCTGAAATACCGAAAGAAAACACGTAGAATCTATAACGAATGATGCACCTATATGCTATGCCTGTATTCATGTTTCTGCAGGTAATTTTTGTTTGTTAAATTCTATTTTTGTTCCTGAAGAAATCATGTGTTCTGAACTTCTGATAGGTTGCTGTTGCGAAGGTGGAGCCTGATCTCTAATACAGCATGACACTTTCTACCTTATTGCATCTCATGGATTAATTCTCACAGTGTTGGAAAGAAGGGGTTTTCATTTTCATTATTCAGTTTTATTTGCCCTGTCTTTAATCTATTTTGCTTATCTAGTTGTGCTATTTGAAAAGTATAAAGGTTGTTTGGATGTTTACTTATCAGTTGGTGGTTACAGAATAGTATATTCAGTTTTTGAGTCTGTTAGTCTCATAATTGTCTATTTATACAGGTAAAATTTGCTACTTAGAAGACATTGATGATGTTAATTTTTTAGATTATTCTTTAGAAACAACATTTATATTTATTACTCTATATTTGTGTGCACAAGGCCTAACTGTTTTATATGTATAAAGACTGAAGATAATATGGAGTTTGATATGATTGGTGTTGATGCATCGATAACTAATGCCTTATGAAGAATCCTCGTACCAGAGGTATGCGCATGTTGCCATCTGTACCATACTACCATCTTGAAAACTGTTTGTTGCGTTCTAATGAGTCATGTATTTGGTGGTTCCATTCCAATACATGTACTTCATTATTTTAAATTACAATGTTCCTACAACGGAAAATTGAGAAAGTCCTCATGGTTGACAACACATCAGTTACACCAGATGAAGTTATTCTACACAGGCTTGGTTTGATTCCACTGGATGCAAATGGATCCTTTTTATTATATCTCAGGTCAATAACTTAAAATTTTCTAATTCCACATTCATATATTTGATTGCTATGTATGAATACTTGTGTATGAATAATAGCTGTATTATTCTTTCGTTGGGTTCTGTAGAGAACGATGCCTCATTATTGTGTACAAACTGCGTGTTTCATGTTAGAAAGGCCCCCAGCTTACAGTTATCTTCGCTGTCCTGCAACCTAACCCTTTCACAGTTTCCAATCATCTTATTTCTAAGTACGAATTTCCTCCCTTCCAATTTGAATTGTGCAAAACTGCAAAAGTGATTTATTTCTAAATATTCTTCTCCAGGTTATTCTTTGGAGTCATTTTTATTCACTGCTTTTTAACTTTTAAGACTAAATGCCATGTTTTTCTCATTTTTACTAAATAAGCATCAAGTTTACAAATTTATCTTGAAATTGTGGACCTTATTTTTATGGGAGACAATTTGCACCTGCCAGCTGCAACTGGATAGATTAAACAACCTGATTTGATGCTGTTAGTGACCTTCAAACCACCATCTCCTTTAAGCGAGGATGATCCAATTATCTGTTTGAAACATCACATTCTGTGCTACGAGACTTACATAAGAAGAAAACTGTGTTATGTTTCACAAATTGTGGATCCTTAGTCTTTAGATATGCGGTTAATGGGTAAATCCCCACATTGACGACATTTCATATTATTATCTGAATATACAGCATAAATCAGCTAAGGCACCAACCTTTTCTTCCATCTTAAAAAATTCTTAATAAAAGCCAAAACTATTTGGAATCATTTAAAAATATTTTGATGCCACATCAATCAGATTTACTCTGTTCAGAATAATTTACAAAGAAAAAAGTGAGGGTAAATCCTTGGCAGCAAAGCATGTGCCTAATGCTACTATGTACCAATATAATATTTTGTGTACCAAAAACTCAAACTATCTAAACAAATTTCTTAACTGATTTTCTGATACCATCATCATTCATGCACGCTGAATCAAACAGTGGATCCTTAGTTATTGGTACTTCAGCTTATTCATGCCAATTCTGTTATCATTGTTCTACTTGGAAAGCTTTGATGGCTAGACTTCTTGTTATCTCTTCTTTTTTTTTTGCGAAGTTGTTCTCTTATGCTAATCAATCATGTAAGAAATTAAATTGCTAAAACCTAAGACTTATATCAATGATAAATTAAGTATTCTATTCTTTGTGCCCTTATCGTTATTATAATCCTGTCATATTTCCTGTAAGGTTGACTGATATTTTCTACTGAGGTGTGGTTAGCAGAAAATAGCCAATTAAATATGTCATCTCCTGCTCAATCTGGGAACAAGCAAAAGACCTACACTTCCTTCGGCCAAAGCAAGAAGGATATCTCAAAAAGGATGGTGTGAAATTTAACGATATAACTATTATGAGGTTTGGACCTGGCCAAGTAAGTTTGTTATGGTGGTTGTTATCATGGCTTTCCCCTTGACACTATATGATATACTTGGTACCTATATCTGCTGTCATTTAGGCTTACTATTTGGATTATGGCGCTTTGCTGAGTCCACATGGTATAATAAAGATTTCAACGCAGTCATTTCCTGGAATCCTGATGTATGTAGCTTTACCATTATTTTTGTGACCAATCAATTTTTTTTGCGGCTTAAATTTCTGCTGGAAACCTGAGTTCATGTGCATGCTGATAGAAATTTCTGCAAAGATATTTTCTTGTAGAGACCTGCTACTCTGAAATTGCTTTACTAATTTTTCATGGGGTAATTCTCCGCAAACCACCGTGCCTTCTAATTTGCCTAGTCGGTTCTATTTTAGGCTATTGAACTTGAGGCATATGCTGTTAAGGGAATGAGGAAAGTTCATTCTAAGTGGTCTCCAGTTGCTACTACAGCCTGGTACAGAATTTCCCTGAGGTAAAATTCTTTTGCTGGAATCTCTTATAAGAAAACCATGAGTTGCTATATACTATTGTTTTCATGGCTTAGTGTTATATTATTGTGTAGTTGTTTTTCTCAAAGAAGTAAAAATTGATGATGCAGATAGGCTAGTGAAGAAGTGCCCACTCAATATTTTTGACATTGGAGATCAGGGAAACTGCAATTTCTGTTCCCACTAGCTATGGGCGTTGTTATTTTACTAGTGTTATCTTGGGATATATAGTTAGGGAATGGTTGTCACTTGCCAATCCTAGTAGTACCAAACAATGCGAGGTCATCTACAGCTCTTGAGTAAGAGGTTGTATTATTGTCTGTAATGTCTATGTCTCTTGCTTGGATGGTATTCTTTTCCCAAAGCTACTGAATGGAGGTGTGTACACGAGGATAAGGGGAGGGTGCAGAGTTGTATAGTATCTCTTGCTTGAGTAACCAGTCACCTTGTTTATTGAAGACTGGCTAGTCCTTAGTCCTTACTATCTAACGCTGATCACTCATATTGGCATTTATTTTACAGAATTTTCTATATTTGTAGTTGCTTTAATGTGTTTGGTGGACACCGAAACACGAGATTCTCTTTATAATATCAGTTATCATTAATCACTGCAACATTATTAACACATTTGATTTACCTAAACATGTTTCAAATTATGCATGGTGAGAGCTGATGAGAAGCTCTCATTTAGCATTTTGATTGGAGAATGTTCCTCCCGAAAAAATTTCTTAAGCAGGATGATGGTTTTTTAGTCTTTCTAAGTCCTTACCAAATAAACTCCAACACTTGAGTAGATGTGAAAATGAGTGATAGTTTGTTGAGTTTTAAGTTGATTTAGAGTTCAAACAATAAAAGAAAAAAATCAATAACCATGAAAATTTGCAGAATGATAGGTGTTCAGAACTTCAGATCTTCTTTTACAAAGCTCTGCTAAAATATCAAGGTGCTAACACTGGTGTGTGTTGCTGTGGCTTTAGCCTTCTGACTCATGCTCCCTCCGTTTCGCAATGTAAGACTTTCTAGCATTGTCTACACACATATAGATGTTAATGAACCTAAACACATATTTATGTCTAGATTCATTAACATCTAAATGAATGTGGGCAATGCTAGAAAGTCTTACATTGTGAAACGGAGGAAGTATAATTGAAGCAATGGTTTCTACCTGTTCTTTATCATCCCTTCTCTCTCTATATGCAGGGGAAAAGATATCAATTGTTGCTAAGCCAAGAGGCACACACTCTTTGCAGGGAATGCGTTATTATGGGACCATCTGGGGAACAAGTAGGACTAAAGCGCGTTAGAGACCACTTCATCTGTAAGTACTGGAATACATGTCATCGCCCGCCTTTCCTGAATTTGACGCCTTTTTCAGAATTCGTTGCTGTATCAGACCAGTTATCCTGTTCTAATCACTACTTGTCTATTGTTTCCCCTGGCTAGTTGAGATAAGCTGAGTCCACTGGAGAAGTGCAAAGAGGATGATATCTGAACGGTCATGAGTCATGGTAGACCAGCACAACTAGCGTCTCTGTATCGCTCTGGTGGTCACTGTAGTTCTTTTCATCATTATATATTTTGTTAGGCACATGTTATGCAGAAATTTATTTTTCCTGATGAAACACCAAGTTAGTAATGTTAATATTTACTCTTGCACCATGATGCTGTGACAGAAACAAAAGCTCGACACTGGATTTGACCTCCCAGTTTACCAATCACATCATTTGCAACTATAGTTTTACCTCCTGGCTCCTGTACTTGGGCCTTCACTCCTGTTGCACATCCAGGTCAGTCTATTAATGCTTCTCAGCTCATTTTCATACAGTAGCTCTTAATAGTTGATCCTGTTAACTGCTTTCTCTCTCAAAATGAAAATTAGCCCAGCTTCATAGATATTTTATCTACAATTAGTCAACTTATATATACACCTAGTGTATAAAAATTATACTCATACTTCAAGTACTTTCACAAAATGGTTTCAGATATTAAGAACATAGCTCATGAAAAATTAATCTTTAACCTTACAATATTTTTTCTGTATAACATATTTCATATGAAACTCATCGGAGATTGTAGTAGGAATAAATGTGTTAGAGAGAAAAAAAAAGGCCATGTAATTATTCAGTGACGCAGAGCTAGCATTGCCATGTTGATTTCTGGAGGGGCCCAGCATACTTAAGTGTTTAGACAATTGCTAGTTTAATTACCTCATATTAAAATAAATTAAAACATTTCTGTGGCTATGCTTAGTAGCAACGAGAATCACCTAACTAGTTTTGGTCCTAGGTTCGCCCCCACTTGCTTGTACTAACAAATCAAGATAAAAAAAAATCAACTTGTTGCATTTGAACACATGCATGGATCATGGATGTCCAGTGACCAATCACATCATCAAGAGCCATTTCACCAAGGAAACTACACCATTCTTCCATCTCACTGCTTCGTTAGATTTATGTCACAACTAACAATAGTACTTAGGCTGCGTTCGTTTCTGAGTGATTGAGAGAGAAAACACCTCGTTTTCCGCGCGCACGCTTCATAAACTATTAAACGATGTGTTTTTGCAAAAAAAATCTATAGAAAAGTTGCTTTAAAAAAATCATATTAATCCTTTTTAAAATTTAAAATAGTTAATACTTAACTAATCATGCGCTAATGTCTCACCTCATTTTGCGTATCTTCTCGATCTTCTCTTTTCCTCTCCTCTCAAACTCAGCCATCACAGAAAGTGATTGTGTGGTTTGGACGTTTGGTAGGGTTGACACTTTCAGATTAATCTGCAATTCTGTTTTGCTGTGCATGCAAGTATAAAATAGTTGGTGTGTGCAGGGATAAGCTAAGGTGGGTCATGAGTTGCATAACAAATTAAAGAAGAACTATCTAGCTATATCTAGGTGTTATGCTGTTGCTTTTCTGGTCCTGACATTATATATATATATATATTACATACTGTATCAATAATCAATTAATCAATTGATAGTTTATTCAGATCGTGTGGGGTGTTATGTTCTGGTTAGGTGAGCCGTCGTCTTTCTATCTATCTGGAGTTTTGCTGTTAATTCCTTTGATGAAAGCAAGAGATCTTGTCTAGACTTTAGGTTATTGTTTCGTTTCACTTCTCAATTTTTATGAAGTAATTTTCTGTGGTCGGTGAAGGTGCCGTTCTCCTGTGTGTCAGTTTGTGTGGTGACAATGCGTCATTGTGTCCTCGAGCATCCGAGAAAAAAGTAATTATCAAGATTGGCCTATTGGATCATGACTACTGTGTCAGTAGGAGTAGAGTTAATTAGTTCAGTTCGCTATCCTACCAAAATTTAGTAACATCGAAATTTTGTTTTGTTAGTAAACCAAACGCCACTTTAAATTATGATATAGTACTAAAATTTCAGTGATTTCTATCTATCCATCTTATAGTAATACCTCCTCTATTTTTTAATATATGAGACCTTTAATGTTACAATTTTTTTAATATATGACACCGTTAACGCTACATTTGATCATTTTTCTTATTCAAAATTTTTATGTAAATACTTAAAAGTATAAGTCATAATTAAAGTACTTTAATGATAAAACAAATTACTATAAAATAAATGATAATTATATATACTTTTTAATAAGATGAATATAAAAGTATGGTATATAAAAAAATAAAGGGAGTAGCTCTGTCCCACTGAATTTTGATAGTGTCTAGTCTTTTGCAATACCAAAGTATATAGCTCTCAGATATGAGTTCTAGAGTGATACGCTTACTCGTGATTAATTTGATGGTCTCTTTGATGTGGTTATGATGGAGACCCCCCCCTTGCCCATTCGTGCAATGGGTGATTTTCCAGAGTTTCTAAACCACATGCTTATGCATCGTCAGTCAGTTTCAGAAGACTCAAACCATCACCAGGACACACCAAGTCAAGATGTTCATGTACATAAACTGTCAAGTGGTTTATCCAGAAATGACCGAGAGAGTGATTAATTAACTAATAAATTTAAATAAGCTTAACCACGATATATGTATATATGTGAACGTTACAGGAAATTTCGAGCCGCTGCAGCCTCCATCACCGAATGGCCATATATGGGGCGATAATTGATTTACCAGAAAGTTCAGCTTCGAGAACTCTCCGACTTGTGTTGCATTGACTGTCTAATACATCAAAGAAATGTAGAATTGGGAGCAATTTTGTGTTTTTATGTTAGTAACATGTATATGAAATTCTCACGGAAAATGACTTAATTAGACATACAAGTTTATATTAATTAATACCAGCAATTATATATATTACTCCCTCCATCTCAAAATAGGTTCATTTTTCACTCATCTCACATATCGATAAAAAATAAAAGACTAGAATATCTCTATTTTATTAAATCCTTATACAATTATTCTTCATTTTATCTACTCCTAATGCATTTAACCTCTACTTTGATTGCTGAAAAATAAACTTATTTTGGGATAAATGGAAGGAATCATTGGATTTAAAAATAAATGCCTAAGATTTATCCATGTCACCAAAAGTAAAAATTTTACTAATTTTTTACTCTTTGTTGAATATGTAAGTAAATTTTTTTACTATTGATGACATGAACAAATCTTAAAAGTTTATTTTTTATCCAACGGTAGTTTTTTAAGTTTTCACTGTATGTATGATTTTCACTACATATTTTCCCTATATATACTCCCCCATTCTCAAATAATTGAAGTTCAAATTCCCTATATATACTTCTGCTTGAAAATATGCTACTATATTATTAAGGTGTGTCTGGAGTCATAAATTTGACTATATAAATCATAATATAATCAATAAAAGGTAATTTATAGTCAAAGTAAGATGGGGAGAGTGAACGAAGTCAGATATTTGAGAATGGAGAGAGGAGCCAAATTATTAATTACTACCCCGTAAATAAATACTACAGTTATCTTTTTAACTATGAACCTGATAAACTGTCTAGAAAGATATTTTTTTAGCATGAAGGTAGTAAATGATAAGGCCTCATTTTGGAACTGAGGAAACTTACGAGAATTTTAAAGGAAATGAACTAGTTCCTATGGAATTTTTTTTTAAGAAAACATGTATATCAGAGGAGTCCTAAATTAGTTACAGCAGTAACTATTGTATCCACTATGTGATTCCCCGCGCTTTACTGTAGGAAATTACTAAGCAATTCTCAAAAAAAAAAAATTTGGCAATCAAGCACTACTATTGTATCAATTTTTTTAAGATGATGTTGTATTCTTGCATGAAATTAAATATGTAATTATTACTAGCAGATGATGATGTGGCATGGTTACATATTAAGCTTTAGATTTAGTGGGGTTTAACTTTATAGAAAGTATAGATTTGCCTACATATGTAGCTGTACCAAGTACTTCATCAAAAAGTATCACTAGTTTACATGACTGACTTTTTTTGCGATTGTATGGAAAATGCATGCATACGGCATATATATGTACATACACCACATCCATACACGCCCAAAGAAACAGCAACAATAAATCTGGAACATCAATATTTTTTGAGTAAATTTCATAAAACTACATATACTTTACACAATCAGTCACAAAATTACAGATTTTAGAACTAGTTTCACAAAACTACAGATTTAATATCTTTGTTTATCACAAAACTACAAGTACTTTGAACAATATATCACAAAACTATAGATTTAAGAAATTGTTTCACAAAACTACATGTTTAATATCTTCACTTATCACAAAACTACAGATTTAGTGTCTCCATTCTCACAAAATTACATGTTTTAACAATGCTAAAACGCGTAGTTTCGTGAGAATGGAGACACTAAATCTGTAGTTTTGTGATAAATGAAGACACTAAATGTGTAGCACTATGATAAACGAATACACTAAATCTATATTTTTGTAAAACAAGTTCTTAAATCTGTAGTTTTGTGATAGATTATATAAAGTACCTGTAGTTTTGTGATAAACGAAGACACTAAATCTGTAGTTTTATGAAACAAGCTCTTAAATCTGTAGTTTTGTGATAAATTGTTCAAAAATACCTGTAGTTTTGTGAAATTTACTCATATTTTTTTATTGAAATTGCAACCACCTTTATATAATTATAATTATTAAGATTTAAACATCATTTAGTGAAGTCATGTATCCACGACAATTCCATCACCACATCAGATTTGAGTCGTCGTTGTTGATAGAATAACCATAATAATTTTACACAAGGGCTATTTCCCGCCGGCCGGCTTGCCCTAACAACAGGAAGTTTCTTACAAAGTGGAATCCTATAAGCACCTTTGAGGAAGGGATCGATATTTCTGATAAAGTTATGACAATGTTTTGTTTGTTAACAGGTACGTCGTCTATAGTAAAAAATGTACCTGAGTGAATATATGTTCTACCAAAGGGGAATGAGCACTTGTAAATTTTCTGTCCTCCATTGTAAATTTATCGTTTGGGAATGAGCACTTGTCAACACATGAGAAACAGCGATTATTGTGAATTGATTGTGCGGATTAAGACTTGCAGGAAAATCTTGGCCGGCCGGTTAATGAATTTAAACTTGTGACCATACTTCATCGGGAAGTTACCTTTCATGAAGTATACATACGTTGTACACATATGTATTTATCTTCAAGATTTAGACCTTAGGCAATAGGCATATATGTGTGTTGGTACGCGTAGGTAGGAACGTTCAATGTAATTGACGAGTTCTGGTGTCTTTTCTTGACTTTGTTGCTAATTAGCAAACCGGTAGACTTGTATCGTCAAGAGTGAGGAAGAGCACAGTTTGAGAGAGTGATAGATCGCTCGTTCCGAGTCAAACACAAAATGATTCATGAGTGTGTGATTGATATCGATCGATTTGTGTGTACTACTGTAGTGATCACGCGTGTGCCTGACTTCATCGTGAGATCACGAATAATACAAGGCCTTGTTTAGTTGATGAAAAGAAATTTTTTTAGGTGTCACATCGGACGTTTGTCCAGATGTTGGAAGGGTTTTCGGACACGAATGACAAAACTAATTTCATAACTCGCCTGGAAACCACGAAACGAATTTATTAAGCCTAATTAATCCATCATTAGCATATATGGGTGACTGTAGCACTTATCGCTAATCATTGACTAATTAAGCTCAAAAGATTCATCTTGCGATTTTCATACAAACTGTGCAATTAGTTTTTTATTTTATCTATATTTAATGATCCATACATGTATCTAAAGATTTGATGTGACATTTTTGAAAACTAAACAAGGCCTTACTAAAAAAACTCTGTTTTAAAAAGACCTAGATCTCTGCTCTTAAAGAGACTTAGCCTATCATTTAATTTTAATGTATGAAAGGATGGACAAGCACTTATTAATTTAATTGATAGTTTTTTTATTTGAGAGAGTTTAGAAGACCAAATATTCGTTACAAGTTCTCTTAGATATAAGTTTTCAAACAATCTCTGATGGAGACATGGTTTTACATCATGGTTTTATCAGAATTGTAAAGATTGACGGGATCTATATATCTCTTTTACATTTTTACATTTGAGCCCATCTAAGGTGGTGTTCTTTTCTCCTGAAGATGAAGATTAAGTTTTTTACGCAAAACGATGTGGTATTAACTTATGATTGATTGAGTTTTAATTATTACAAACTTGAAAAATAGATTAATATGATATTTTAGAGCAACTTTCATATAGAAAGTTTTCGCACGAAACGTACTATTTAACAGTTTGAAAAACGTGCGATAAAAATCTTAATCTTCATTCAACTCTTATTAGAGAAAAGAACAGGGCTAAGTATCTAATTATATATATGCTCTAGTATCTAATTTTACTTGCGGTTCTTTATGAAGTTTAAACTATAAAAATTCATATAAGTCTGAAGGTGAACCAAAATTATGTGAGATGCTTACAATATTTTCTTTAATATAACATGGTTAATATTTTTTATTAGGGCCATTTACTACTTAATTTCAAAGTACTTGAGATGAGATGAGTAACAATCGTATTAAAATAAATGTTCTAAGGAAATATGAACCCGGCCATTTATATTAAAGCAAATAATGTAAGAATCACAACTTTGATTCACTTCAATCGGATTTAAAATAAATTTTCTATTACTTTTAAAGAAGGAAAACATTTTTTTCACATGTAGACTTGTTAATAAACCACCCTTAAAAATACTTTTAGGGTGGTCTTCATCAGCAAAGGCTTGTAAAACATAATTTTCGTAAGTGATTCTCTTAATAAATCTATCCTTAAAAATCAAATGTTACAGGAGGTCATATAATAATACTCCTGAAAAAAAGTTGTCTAATTCTATACACAGAGCAACGGGCAATTCAGAAAACATCGATGCTATCGATTGGCTGCACAAATATCTTCTACAGTATACCAGTGCTCTGGCAAGGCCTGTTTAGTTGTGAAATTTTTTTTATTTGGTTGTCACATCATATATACGAACACACATTTAAAATATTAAACGTAATCTAATAACAAAACAAATTACAAATTCGAGACGAATTTATTAAGCCTAATTAATCCTTTATTAAAAATGTTTACTGTAATGCCACATTGTCAAATCATGGCGTATTTAGGCTTAAAAGATTCGTCTCACAATTTACACGTAATATGTGTAATTAGTTTTTTCTTATATTTAATATTCTATACATATATCTAAATATTTAATGTGACAGCGTGAAAATTTTTGTTTTGGGAACTAAGAGGCTAAGGCAACCTTGCATATAGGAGCTATGCTTGGGCGTGGGCACCACACATTGGTGGGAAATTTGTACAGTTGATGTAATAGGAGACGTTGACGTATGGGTTTAGTCAATGTGTCAGTCGTTGCTACTGCATTACACCCTCCGTTCAATAAAAAACCAACTTTTGGGGATGAATCTGGATCCATATTTGTCTAGATTTATCCCTAGAAATTATTTTTTTTTGACGGAGGGAGTACGTAGTAGCATTTATACTGTCGAGTATACGTGTTCGCCATCTGCCGGCCGGAACAGTCCAGACGCTCACGATACCAGGTCAAGTGGATATGCTGTACTATTGCAAAGCGGTATTAAAACCGCGTCGTCTCTCCAAAGCAGCTTTAATAATTTGTTTAATAATTTCCCTGATAATGAAAGATCGTATTGTTTTCATGTAGTGAAGTGAGCCTACCTCAACTAATTAGGTTTTTTTTTTATAGAATCAGTTCACTCGAATTTAAATATTAGATTTAACGTGTGTGCTCGTATTTACAACTATTTATTATTTTAATGGTACGCGACGTACCTGTCGATAGTGAGTCGCCTGTTATGACTTCGTTAATCTCAAAATATGTCAACTCAGTCTTTTGGAGGTGCTCATAGATATAAAGTGTGCGTGTGTATTTATTAGGGTGAGTGTGCTCGTGTTATGAGCGTCTGCGTTTGTACTGTGTTTCTAAAAAAAACTTCATATATAAATTTAGGAAAGTTATTAATTTGCCGAAAGTTAGAAAGGAGAAAAACGACGAAAAGAGATGAACATGTAAGTAGATGTCAACCCAGTCTTTCGAAGATGCTCATATGATAAGTATATCCATGAGTGTTTGGGGTAAGTGCGTGTATGTTATGAGCGTCTTCGTTTGTATTGTGTTTTTTAAAAATGTTATCTTCATATATTAATTTAGGAAATTTATTAATTTGCCGAAATTCAGAAAGGAGAAAAAAATTGATGAAAAGCGACGAACATGTACCTACGTATGATAAAAGGAGAGGAATCCATCGTCGTTCCACTTTCGCCGTCTTTTTCTTTTTACTAAGGAAGTACCTCTACTATCTATATATAGTTTATGGACGCTCGGATTTAAACCTAACAAATAGAATTATACTATACATCGTGACTCTACCACCACATCGATCAATGATTGATCCAATTACTTATTTTGAATGGCGGATTTCTATTTTTAATATTTTGATCGCATAACTTCTTTTCATATGCCTAATTAAGCCTAGGATCGCAGCGTGTACTTTCTTTATGCCCGGTTTTACTTTGTTTTTGTCTACTTTAAATATTTTGATACTTGAATTTTAAATTTTGTAAGAGTTAATTTATATGACTGATTAGATTTTGAGGCTATTCGGTGAAACTTGCTCTAGCATCATGGGCTGTCCTGTACAGAGCCTGTGAGGCTGTGGCTTCTGGTTCGGCAGCTGATGTAACTGAGCGGTTAG